AAAAAAAAAAAAAAAAAAGAAATAGTCATCCGCTTCATATATTCTCAAATTATTCCACAACTTCAACAGAGGCAAAAAGTAAATAAACAAGTATTTAATGTAGTAAGGTATCTAATTTAAAATTTGTATGCGTATATTGCATATTGTGTTATTTGTTTCAAAATTTGTCAAATTATTTGCTAAATTGAAAATCTTAGTAATTTTTTTATTGTTTTTTAAATTTGTTAGATTTAAAGTTATAGAAACAATGATACAAAAGTAAGTCTATAACAATTTAACTAAATTCAAAGCAGATGTTCTAAGAAAAAAATTGATAATGTTCTCAATATCTTCTTTCGTAATAAATAATTGATCCAATCTTTTTATAAATCCTTAATAATATGAAGAAAATTTTTTTTTTCAAATTTTAATAAATTGCTTCGGCGCGTAAAATTAAAAGTGCAGAGATTTAAATGTAGAAGTGACTTTAAAAAATATCTTACTAATAGTTTATAATTAATCTAAGTTTTAAAATGTTAACTTGATTAAGAATGTAAGAAAAATAAAAAATAAAGTAAAATACAAACTTTTCTAGCGTTTGCAAGAAAAATAACTAAAATAGTAGAAAGATAAACATTCATAATAAAAATATTTTACCAGATATCAATAAGGAATTTCATCTGATCAAGTCATATAAACGCCATAAAAGAAAATCATCATCATGTTCCAAACAAAATCAAAGATAAAAATTTAATACAAAATGAGACAAAAAGCAGATGACTTCAAATGAGTTAAAAATTGATTAAAATAAATCGTCTGCGCTGGCAGCGTGAAAAAATTAATAAGCTAAATGGATTCTGATCCTCCATTAAAAAAATTCCGATACAATATTTTTTGAAAGTCCTATACAATATTTTCTGTAACTCTCTTAAAAGTTTAATTTAAATATTAAAGTTCTTTGAAAAACATCAAATGAATAATTATAAATTATTGTAATTTTAAAATGTTAGCTTAATACTCATCGAAAAATAGAAAAAATACTTCCATTGTGGGATCAAAAAAGTAAACAGTAGGAGAAAACAAGCTAAAATACTAAAAATATAAAAGTTTATGATCAAAATATTTTACCTGATAACAATAAGGAACACCTCCTGATCGAGTCATATAAACGCCATAATAGCAAACCATCATACCCATGTTCCAAACACAATCATAGATAAAACGTTTAATATAAAACAGTACAAAAAGCAGACGACTACCACTGAGTTAAATAAAATTTGAATAAAATAAATCGTCTGCTCTAGCAGTGTGAGGAATTAATAAGCCAATTGCATTCAGAACTTGAATTAGAAAAATTCGATTTGTAAAAGTAGCAAAATGCTGTGCGGTCTAGTAGTTATTTAGTCTAATTACATGCCTTAGGTCTATTTCCACAGTAGGTGGGGAGCTATTCATTGAAGATCAGATTGCAAATCCATCTTCATCTTCAATTTGTTTTTTTTATTAAGATCCTTTTTATCCCAGTTAGAAAGGTTTTAATTAGTGTGAATTGCACATTAATTTTCGTTGTACTCGTTGAAATGCGTTATGTTTAAGCGGATGTTCGGATTGGAAAGAAAAAAATTACAATATTAAGAACGATCCCATTAAGATCGTTTTAACGAAAGGAAAAAGCTTAATTATGTGATTGAGAAAAATAAATGGAAGGAACTGAAGTGGTTTAAATAATTGACTTAGTTTGAATTTTAATTCTGTCTGGCACGTTTCTCAAGAAATAGGTGAAGAACTCTTAATTAAAACTAATGACTTGCGTAAAAAAATCATTGTAATTATAATTTTGCTGAATTTATTTCGATTGAGGGCTGTAATTTAGGGAATTTTGTTAAAGAAAGAAAAATAGTTATAATTTTCGAATTCTGGCAATATTTTTTCTAAATAATTACAATAGACAATCTTGGAATGTATTTTCCCTGTTAGCCCTAACTCATGTTTTATTATTTTATATGTGTGATTTTTGAATTTCATTACTTTATTTATTTATGGCCAGGCCCTGATTATCGCCTAGGCCCATTAGGTACGGGCCTAGGGTCCATACTTTATTGGGGGCTTCAAAAATTAGTAAAAAGTCAACACTATCAGTTTTTAAAAAAAATTACTGAAAGAAACAGTTTATCTCAAAAAAGGCATTTTTTATTTCAAATTTTCCTTATATTGTGATAAACCAAACTCTTGTAAACATTGCACTAATCAAAGTCGAAAGAACAGCTGAATTTTAATTGGTGCAATTTTTACTCCAACGGCTTAAGCAAATGCAACGAGAATGGATATTCACTAAGTCTCTTATATATGATTAGTGTCAACAAGAACTAAAAGCTTATTCTTAACAAATATGCAAAGCTGTGCATGGAAGGCTACAATCTTTAAAATAATTCAGCTAATCAGTGACTTTTAGCAAAAATCACTGATTTCAATTGTCTGCGGTCAACAAACTATTTTTATTTTCATGCAATATTGTTCTGTAGTTTTATATTTCGCTTTAATATTTAGAAGCGACAACTTTATTCTAGAAAAATTATCTTCAATTGTCTGCTTTCAAAATTTTTTAGAATGCTTCCCTTGAATCATGCAGTTCAATAGATTCGTTTTATTGTTAGGACAACTCTTCAGAAATTTAATTTCAAAATATTTTGTTAGGGGCCGGGAAAATTTTGTGGACCTTGGGCCTGGATTTGTCGTGATCGGTCCCTGTTTATGGTTTTTCCACATAAAGCGTGAAAATTTTCAGATTCATCCCTACCTTATCATTTCTAATTTTAATAAATATCAGTATATCTTGATTTGCAAAGTATTAGGCAGAAGAATTTTAAAAAAAATACTTGATTTGTAACAGTTAAGGTGGCTAAGAATATCATTTTGAACAAAATATGAAAAGAAAAAAAAAAGGGTAACTGAGATAACTTTGGACTATTATAAATTTTGTGCAGAATTTTGATAAACAAATGGTTATTAAAATGTTCTTCTGCTTGTTAAATTTTTTGCTCGTTATCTGTAACTACTTTAATTTTCTTTAAAAAATTGAATCATAGCGTAGAAGATGAAATATTAATTCAAAAACTTTTAACACGGTTTTATATAAGTTTTTGTTTAAGTTTTTCATAGAGGCGCGAAGAGATTTTTACGTTCATGAAGTAGAAGAATAATGACCGGTCCTTGCATTCTCATTAGACTGATTACCCACTGGTTTAATGCAGTTTTCTCATATGAAGATCCATATTTCGTTGGTTATCATCTACATTAAATTAATAATTTTAAATGTTTTGTATTGTAAGTTTTAGATGCATTGCTTACCGAGGATAATGGTAACTTCTATTGCAATCGAATCGTAAACTTCATGTGTGAAAGAAAATTTGTGTAGTAAAAAGTGTTATAAAGTATAACAAAAAAATTAGCATTCAATTTCAGTTCTATTGTAAAATAAGTTTATAGTTTTAATAAAATTGTGTCGATATTATGGGGGTATAAAAACAAGGTGAGCAAGGGTAAGTACCCCAAGTAATTTTTAAAAAAAATTTAACATTTAGTTTTTCCAATCACATGAAAGAAGAATTTTCTATCAAAAATTTGGGGTAGACTATATTTGAGGGTGCCCCTTGATTTTCGCCAAGTTGAAATCGCTGTTGATTGCAAAGCTGGGCGATGTTGAAACCCTATCGTGATTCTGATTGGTTCAGATTTTAGCGCTGTTTTTAAATGTTCAACGGTAAATTTAATTTCAGAGGTCCGTTAGTTCTACGTTGGATACCGGCTGGTAAGATTACTTTTGAATCTGATCAATAAGATCGAAGGTATGTGTGCAGTCATAAAAAGGGATTTAAGAAAAAAAATGTGACCGCTATTTCGGTATTACAGACGCCATTTTCGATTCGTATTTCGTCGAATTTATGAGGTGATGGAGGAACACAGATTCTGTTCATGATAAATTTAGACAGTATCTAGCTGTTATTAGATAGTTCTGTGCACCTAAATCTGAGAATATTCAAGTTTATTGAAGAAATGAGTAGTTGCTTTTTTCTTTTTCTTTCTGCGCCTACTCCATTAGTTTTTCCTTCGATTCAAAATTCTTTTTATTGGGTTTATTAATTTTGCTTATATCAGGTTCATTGCAAGTTTTGGCCGATGTTTTGTTGAAATTTTCCAATGTTTTATCAAAATGTCATTATGTTTTGGCTGCCATTCCTGTTACCACGGTTTTCTACGCAAACAGGAATGGCGCCAAACATAAGTCGCCAATTTCGCCAAGGGGTGCCCTCAAGTATATTTTTCCCAATGCGAAAAAAGAAATTTCATCAGTTTTTTTATAATATATGTATTGGTGTTTTCTATCCACTTACACTAAAATAAAGAATTTGCTTGTGTCTCTTTGTGTATATATAACAGGATTACGGGTATATCACCGACACTAAAAATAGGACATTTAATTATGGGATAAATTGTACAATTGTAAAGAATTAAATTAAACTATAGAAAATAATTAAAAATGATAAATATTTATTGAAAGTTCTTTTTTGCATGGAATTATCTTTGAATAAATGAATTTTATAATTATGTGCAAAATTTTTTCAATTCACTTAAAAGTTTCTAAAGCTATGGAGAAATATTCAAAAGGTAAAATTAACATTAAGGGATTCAAACTTTGAACCGTTTTCCTGACCAAACTATTGGGACCATATTTCTCAGATTACGACTACAAGATATTTCAGGGGTCAGAAATCCAAATCCGTAAAAAAAGTCTGTTTATTCAGAGAAAGTGCATTTTTGTGTCTGATTTCGTAACTTAAAATATTGTCAGCACTAATTAATTAGCATATTTGAGATCATCCCTTCAAACCATTAAGAATGAGATCTGATCATTAGATCAATAGGTATTAAGGATGATCCTCTCTTTATTTTGCGCACTGTACATACAAAAATAGAACTTTTAATACAGAAATCCTTTATAACTTTTGAACTACTGTTAAGTCTCATTTGCCTTACCGTGACTCACATTCATTGCATTTAGGAAGCACTGTCTCGCTTGTTTAAATAGCAATGACAGGATTCATAAATAGGTGCAAGTACAAAGATGTACTTTTTGTTAATAAAACTTTTTATAATTTCTAAACTTTAAACCCTATCCTCTCATGATTTATTCCATTCAATTCATCATAAATAATAACATTAACCCGACACCAAAGCTTGACACCTGAGGTCGTGCAACTTTTTACCTCTACTTTTTATCCTAAGTAGGGTATTTAACTGTTTGACAAAAGTTTTGAACACTTTCTTTAAATGTCCCTTGTTTGCAATTATCGAGATATCTTTGCTGAACTATTAGTAATTATATGCACTAATAAATAAAGAAACAGCTATGTGTATACATTTTATACTAGTTGATTACCTGTTTTTCGTACAGGGTGATAAAAAGAACTAATTAATCAGCACTGAACAAGACTACAAAATCATGCATAAAATTGAAATGAATAAAGGCATATTTGTAATAAAGCTGAAATCATTTAAATTTTTTTTATTTATTATCATATTTTGCCCTTTCATGTGGCTTTACGTTATCAGATTAAGCAATACCTGCTAATTAATCATTTAGTAGTTTATCCCATCATGATAGAGATCAGCTGTATCTCTTATACTTATATCTTCGAGGGACTATAAAAAACTCAATTCTAAAGTCTCTATCATAAAAATGCTCAGTATTGGTGCAGTTTTAATAGGCTCAAAATTTACTCATAAAATGCTTGAAATCCAGAGATGCCAACTGCTCCGGACAAGCCAAAATAATTTAAAAAGTGGTAAATAACTGCAAATTAAAATTTGCAAATGTTTGACTACTTTTTGCTTGCTTTTTACAAGGTATGACATGACGTAAGTACCATAAAGTGGTGAGTTATATAAGCCTATGAATTATTTAGAAATAGTGGTGGATTAAAATCTGCTAAATTGAATTTATTAAACCATGAAGCCAGAATGCCAGTAATGCTTATTACCAAAATTAAGCATCATTGGTGCCATAATAGTAACATGGCGAATTTTTACGGTTCCTAAAAACGAATAAGTACATTTTCCCATTAATTTTGCTCTTTTGTACTTTTTTTTACTAAGTAAAACTTTGAAATTTTTAACATACAAAGGTGTGCAGTTGCATACAAAGGTGTGCAGTTGCCCCGAAGCATATTTCTAAGAGATGGCATTGAAAAGTGTAATAACATAATTTCTGCTGGGAGTAAAAAAATTTCATTAAATTAAAAGGAAAAAAATTGAACAAAAATAAATAAAAATTTAAAATCTATATTTAAAATTGATTTTCCTGTAAATGCATGCAAATATTTTTTTCGTAAATTTTTTTTTATTTCCACCAAAATATTCTTAAATGTTTTAAAATGAAAAATATACTCATATTTAAGAACTTAAAAAATAAAATTTTATACTTAAACTGATGCTGTAAGATACTACTTGATTAAAAATTTCATTTGCTTAAAAAAATATACGAACTGGAATTTACAGTTGACATGTTTTAAGCATTCAAAAATAGGCACCTACTTTCAATGAGAAGGAGAAGTAACTAAAGTGATTTGAAACATAAAACGAATTGTTGTCAACGATAAATGAAAAAATTAATTGATAAACTAGTCTGGAAAATCCGAAACAGAAGAACCACCGTGGCCAAGAGGGGCAAACCCTGCACCTCTTTTCGAGAGCTTGAAACACTCCGACTGTTGTTTCCAAATTGTATATTTTTGAAG